CACACACACACACACACACACACACACACACACACACTTTTTGAGACCTTTTACCTCATGCACTGCTCTTTATTCTATTGTAACGCTGGGATCTTTTTTACTTTCTTCAAAGTAAGAGACAATAGTATTACTACATTCTCTCAATCTCAGAAAGAGGTAAATAGAACTTGTCACATTCTATCACCTCCACCTGGTTTTTATTCCACAGTATGAGTCCTTCGAACCAAATAACTCAGCTTACTACTCTTGTAGTTTTCACAAACTTTTCCCATTTTAGTCATTTATTAAATGGATAATATTTCATTGGAGAAAATGTTCATCAAACTAAATATTTAGGAGTTTCAATATGGTCATACATATGCTGAAACATTCTTATATATGTGTCACAAAATACTTGAACCTTGAAAACTTTCTGTTGCATTATTGTATAGAGCGATTACAAATGGAAAAATATTGATAAGCAATACCTAGAATGAACAAGTGTAAAGTGATTAAAGTTTCTCAATGGTTATCAATTAGCAAGTTGGAGGACAGAAAAAAAAAAGACAATGCTTAAGTACACTGAGTGCCTGTTAATGGTGATGTAGCGTTTTGATATGATTAGGAATCATCGGTATCTTTGTGGGAACGATAGTTGGTCAATTCTTATAATAACAGTTATTAACATTTTAGTCACTTTTTTATTCCTAGCATTTGTGGAAATGTAAGCACTGAAAGTATTTTCTTAGAGAGGGAGAAGACACAAGCCAACATAGTGAAAATGAAGGGCAGAGAGAGAAGGAAAAGCAAATAAGGAAAATGGGCTAAAACCCAAAGTTACAGTTTAGAGACTCCTGGATTTACATATCATTAAGTATAAAATGTAAATTCATCTTCTGTTTCAACTTGAATTCCTTTACTATTGAAGAATTGATGCCTTTCAATCATAGCATTGACAATAAATATTGAATAACCATGGACTAAGAAAAGAACAAACAAATCTGTCCTGGACCAAGCACAGCCAGAATGATTCCAAGAAGGAAGGATTGTGGGATGACCTCTCTTTGACTTCAAGCATATCATCAAGAGCGACCAGTTCCTGGAGACAGACATTATGCTTGGTAACGAAGAAGCTGAATGAAAGAGAGGAAGATTTTCAATGAAATAAATCGAGACAGTGACTGGCTCAGTGGGCTTAAGCACAGGATGATTGTGAAGCTGGCAAAGGATCGGGCAGAGTTTCATTCTGTTGCTCTCAGGTTGAAATGATTCAGAGTCAATGTCATGGAACATAACAGCAAAACTAAAATTCTATATTTAGGATTGTTGCAAGCATACTTTTTATTATTATTATTGTTATTATTAATTGATGTTACTGTTCTCAGAGGAGTGTGTCACCACAGAAAACTCTAAACATTTTCAAAGGCAGTTAAATTATAAAATCAAGGAGAATGAAGGAAAGATGGACAAATGTCAAAACAAGAGCTTTCTCTAATGTATACATGAATATATTTGAATAAATAAATAGAATATGCATGAAGAAATATCATCTGTCAAACCTATGGATGGTTGTGGGTGTAGTCCCTTTGACTTGGCCTTATCTGTTCATCTTACCTGTCTGTTTGTGTATCCACTTGTACGTTGTTTGTTATTAATGATAATGTAGAATTGTGCTTGTGTTATGTCTACACTTGTCTGTAACTTTGTGCACCTTTCCACATAGTTCTTTTCTTTAGTGAGATTATGCTAATTTTTCCTTTTAGCTTTTCCTTTCACTCACTTGGAAGACCCTTAACTAGATTGACATAGTGACTTTAACTCTGGGCTCAAGTATCACGGAGATCATAAGAATGGTTTAGGTTAGGGAAGGTTCAGATCTGTTGTTCATAGGGTTGCTATAATTGTAGTTACTTAGAAAGTACCTAATGACAATAACAGCAACAACATAAGAGAAGCAGCAGTTCAATCTTTAAATCAACTCTAGAAGATGAAGGAGGCAGCATATGCCAGGTATAGAACTCAGAAGGTAGGAAGGGAGAAGAGAACAGGTTAAATGATAGTAAGAATAGAGAGATTAGCAGAGGGATGTGGATGTACAGGGGGAAGAGGGAATTAATCATAGGGATGTGCAGCTTGATGGGGGGGTTGAGGGTAATTGAAAGAATTTGTTCAAATTTGAATTACAATTTTGTAAACAAACTAATGGGGATAAAAGTCAATTTGGGCAGGGGAAGGGAGGGAGAGGGGCTAAAATGTGCAGCAATGAATGTTTGAAAATCTAACTTTTCTGTAAACTTCTGTTAAAATGACAATTAAAATAAAAAAATTGTTTAACCCCCCCAACAAAAACCCAAAAAAGAATAAAGAAATTGTGGAGTCGTAAATTGAATGGTGTACTCAATGCTATAAAGCAAAATATATATGAATGGCTGAGTGGAAGGTCAATCCTCTCTGTAACTTTCATCTGAAGCACAGTAAAAAGTTTTTTAAAAGTAAATATTATAAAAATATATTGCTAAAAATTATATTAAGATAATCTTTATCTTAAAATATTTAATTTGTTTCTTTACTTGTTATTGAGCTCTATATAATTAATTTAATTCATTCATTTTCTAAAGCTACATCCATAAAAATAGATAAAGGAACCTTTGCAAATTTAATGCTCAAGACTTTGTGTTGAGTGTTTCTGATAATTTTAAACTATTTACTATTCATAAGAAATGGTTTGTAGAATACTATGCCTTATTGATCTCACGATACACTAATTTTCTTATCTGTGATGGTCATAATATTGAATATCAAAAACATTTGATGTAGAGGAACCAGAGGGAGAGAGTGGGTGAGGGGAAAGAATATAAGTAAAGAGAAAACAAGAGAGGAGAAAAGAGGAAGGAAAAAAGATGTAACAAAAGCATAGAGAGAGGACTTACTCTCTCAAAAAAGAATTACTGAAAAGTCTTGCTTTTATAAAGAAATGAACATCTAATAATAACCCAAATAAGTATCAGACTTAAAATGATTTTTTAAATGACATGTGGGATTTATAATAAACACCAAAGAAGAAGAAATAAGTTATTAGTTGTACTTAAATACACAGATCAGGAGAAAGAGGTGGTTTTTATAAGAAGGTACATGGCTAACGCAAAGGTATGTAGTTCAAAGCTGTAAGTTTCTCCTGTGGAGAAAGGTGGGCAATCTCCTCCTGTTGAGTTACTGCCTCTTAAATCCTGCTGGAGGGTTAGCTATGGGTCAGTTCTGATTCAATGGTCCACAACAACAATGACCACAACAACAAACTCCAATTCAGAGGTTACAAACTACTAACTTGTCATTATTCTTAGCCACTAACTGTTAACATGAGTCTACTGTGGTTTCTTCCATCCGGCGTGTGTATAATCAGAGTCAAAGTTATGTTAGTTTACTGAGCTGAAAATGAAAATGTTCCTACAAATGAAAAACTTGAAGAAA